AAAAAAAAAAAAAAAAAAAAAAATCCCCCCGAAAGAACAATCCAAAAAAAGTTTAATACAACAGAGAGTATCAAAACATCCAAGAACACACTAAGCCTGAATTTCCCATCGGGGATTCCCGACGGAGCCAGCCCCCCCCCGGCAGTCCCGGCCCCTCAGTCGGCGGCCTCAGGATCTGTCTGTGCCATGTACGCGTCCAGCTCGGCGTCCAGGTGTCCCTTGGTCTTGGACATGTAGGCGTCCAGCTGGTTGTCCAGCTGCTCCTTGGTGAGCGCGGGGCGCGCCGAGCCTCTGCCGCGGCCCCGGCCTCTGCCGCGCCCGCCGAATCCGCCCCGGCCCCGGCCGGCCATGCCGCGGCCTGCGGGGACGGAGAACACCGGGCGCCCGTCACCGCCTCCGTCCCCGACCTCTGCGGGACCCACGGCGCCTGATCCCGGCCCTCCCCTCCCACCGGGGCTGCTCCGCTCCAGTTCCAGCCCTAACCGGGTCTGGGATTCACGGTTTGAATTCCAGGCTTGGAATTCTCATGGCTGCAGGAAGGACGGCAGCTGAATTCCCGTTATTCCCGAGGGCTGGGCACTCACCTCTGCCGCCGATCCCTCCCCGGCCCATGGCGCCCCGGCCCAGGCCGCCTCTTCCCGGGCCGCCGCGGCCCCTGATGCCGCCTCTCCGCAGGCCCATCCGGGGGGCGATCCCTCTCCCGCCGCGCAGCAGGGCTTGACCTGCCGGGCAGGAGCCAGGACAGCGGGATCTCAGCCCGGGAACCGGCGCGGAAAGGGACTGGGGCAGGGAGGGGAACGGCAGGGCACCCACCTCGGAGCGCGACCCCTCCTCGGATCATGGCCCGGGCGCCGCGGCCCCGCAGGGCCCCCCGGGGCAGCCCCCGCTGGCCCAGGGCCAGCCCCCGGGCCCCCAGGGCTCCTCGGGCCAGCGTCCCCGCCGGCCGGCCCAGCCGCGCCTGGATGTTGCTCTTGCCGAGGCGTTGCTTCAAGCTCTTCTGGAAGAGAAGACGTGGGAGGAGGGACAGGAGTCATGCAGCAATCTGGGACCGGGGAACGACGCGCAACGAGCCCGGGGCTGTGCCTGGAAGCCAGGCCTGCATTCCCAAGCCACCAGCACGGGAATTTTTGGTCCCCTGGGATGTTTAAGGGCTGGCACCGACCGGCAGCGACTGTCGCTGCCGTGGGACTGCGAGGTGAAGCGCTCGGCAGCTCCCGGACCCCGGGATGAGCCATTTCTCTGGAAAAATAGAGAGGAGACATCAACAGCCAGCACCCGACACCGACAACCCCGGGAATGACGACGGGTTACTGATCCGAGGTGAAAAAACGGAATCTTCTGCAAGTCCCTCCCAGGTATGTCGTTTTTAGGATCATGGAATGCCCCGAGTTGGGAGGGATCCATCAGGATCATCCAGGCCAACTCCTGCCCCTGCACAGACACCCCAAATCACACCCTGTGCACCCCTGGAGCGCCGTCCAAACGCTCCTGGAGCTCTGCCTGCCTCGGGGCAGCCTCAGGGGGAAGGACCTTCCCTGATCTGCAGCTCCAGCCATTCCCTGGATCATCCCCTGGGAGCAGGGATTGGAGCTGCAGCGCCCTCAGCCACTCGTGTGGCTCCTCCTTCTCCATCCTCCTGTTCCTCCTCTGGACGCTCTCCAACACCTTTTTTTTAACCGAATCCCACAAGTCTGCAGGTTGGAAAACACCTCCCAGACCACTGAATCCAACCCTCACCTTGTCCCCAGCCCAGGGCACCGAGTGCCAACATCCAGCATTTCTCTGAGCGCCCTTGCCAGGAAAAAAACTCCCGGTTCCAACCTGAGCCTCCGGCCAGGGAGTTGTGGGGAGCCAGAAGGGCCCCCCCTCTCTCCTCCAGCAGCTCCCCACACTCACCCTCCATCCCCTTCCTCTCTCCGGCCTCCTCCTCTTTCCGGAGCTGTTTTTTCCACATCCTGCAAGGCCCAAATCCCCTTTCCCCTCACCTGTTTGAGCTTCAGAGCGGCCTGCACAGACGGTCTGTTCTCCATCTGCTGGGCCAGCCGTCTGTTTCGGGCGCTGGCCAGCTGCTGCTGCTGCATGGTGGCCCGGATATTCACCGGCATCGGCTGTTTGTTCTTCAGCATGTTAGTGAAGCTTCAAGGTCGAATAAAACGGGGTTTAATTAAAGCTTAAAACACACAATTATCGGCATTTCACGGTGCTCGAGTGGGGCTCCAGCTCCCATGAACCTTATGCAAAGAGTGGCACTTATGGGATCCCGGATCCCTCGCTGGCCGCGAGGACCGGAGAGGCAGGAATGAGGTGGAAGTTTCCAGTGGGAATGAGAAAGCCGGAGGTTAGTGGGTTTAGAGATGGCAGAAGGGGTGACAACCAGCAGGAAGCGGGGATGGGCGTGATGGGGAGGGGAGAAACGGAACAGCAAAAGCCAAATCAACACCCCAAAAAAAAAAATCTGGGGGAGAAGTGTCAAAACTCCAGGCGGTCGGCTGGGGAGACACCACGTTCCTCCGGTGCCAGGCTGGATCACCTTAAAGCCTTTTCCAACCTTAACAACTCCACGATTCTACAAAATTCCGCCACCCAGAGCAGCTCCTGAATTCCACCCAATGGTTCTCCTGCAACGAGGCCGCTCGGGGAATTTATCTGCAGTTTTAATTCCTCCATGGAAGAGCCAACACGCAGCCAGGCGGCGAATAAAGCTCCCGAGCGGCACCCCGGCGGCTTCCTGGGAGGGCTGGCGAGCAAAACCCACCCCAAAAAACGAGGAGTTTGGGCTGATGGAGGGGGGAATGAGCCAGCAGAGGTGTCCCCGAGCTCGGGCCACACCGCCCCGCAGCACTGCTGGAGCAGAAGCTGCCCCGTCCCAGCGTGTTTAAGCCCAAAGTGCCCAGCGGGACACCCGTTAGTCGTCACAGAGGAGCCACAGGTGGGAAAACCCAGCGGGATGAGCCACGGGGAGAGCTCGGAGGACAGAGAGAGATGGAGGTGAAGCGAAGCTGTTGCCTCTTACAAGGCCCAAAAGGACCTTTGGGCCGGTTCCGGGGCCGCCGCCGGCCTCTTACAGAGCCCACCCGGGCAGGCGGGACCCTGGGGCGCGGCGGCAGAGCCAAAATACCAATGTCAAAACATGTGGGAGAGACAGGGAGGGTGTGAGGTTGGTCTCTGCTCTTACAACACATCCCACCGGATTTACGAGGCGAATCAACACTAAAAACACGGAGAAATCCCTCCGGAATTTGGCCCTTTTAACCTTGCGTGCCGCAGGGGTCGGAGGGTAAGGCGGGTGTGGAGGCACCCGCTCGCTCGACGAGGTTAAAAGAGGGCGGAAACCACGGTGGGTTTTGGATTTGGATAGTGAGAATTAAGTAAAAAAATAAAAAATATGGTTTCTTAGGAGCTGAAGGTGCCGTTGGCTTCCTCACCGCTCGTTCAGAGACATCTTGGTGGTGCTCTTTAGCACGACCTTCGGTGCTGACTGTGCAGCCATCTTCAGAGAATCTGCAAAACAGGGCCCAAAAGAGAAAATTCAGACTTTTATTACACGTTTGTACTGCTAAAAATTAAAAATCCCTTCCATTCTGGCTCCTTAGGCGCAGGAAATCAAGATTAGGGCAGGTTACGCATAATATATTAATTTATTTTCAGTGATTTTTAGCCCCCTGCCAGAATTTTTCAGTTCTGATTCTGGGATTTTTAATGTTTTTTAATCCTCTTCGAGTTTTAATCAATCAGGGAGTTCCTATATTTCCCCCTTACTGAAATTTTATCTTTTTACAGTGAATGCTTCAGCAATATTACAAGGAATAATACAAAAACCCAGCAGGAAGATGGCAACCAAATGCCATCTTCAGAGCAAGGATGCAAAACAGAACTAAAGACATCAAATTTATACAATTATTACATATTTATATGAGAAACATTAAGAAACCTCTGTTCTGCACGGAGAGAATTAAGAATGAGGCAGGTAATAAGTATTAATATGTATTGTACTTCTGTATTTTTAATGTTTTCTAGCCCTTTACCAGGTTTAATAAACGTGGGAGTTACATTTTTACTGAAGGTAAAATAAAGTATCTTTTTACAGTGAATATCTTACCCTTTTTGTGTAATAACACAGAAATCCAGCTGTAAATGGCAACCAAGTGCCTTTAGCACAGTGACACCTCCACATTTCCAATGTTCTCGTTATTAACAAGGTACAAGCCCCAGTTTTAAGGGCACAGTGAATAAAATTTGGAATAAAATTCCAAGGTGATGCTACAAAAGCATAATATCCTTTAAAAACACCCAGGTTTCACCTCCCTCAGTGCAGGGATTTAAATCCCCCCCAGTGCTGGATGCTACAGAAACATGCTGAGTTCCAGCCCCCGAGCTCTGCAGATCGATTAATTAATTTAATTTATAATTAGCAGCAAATTTAACGGGTGGATGACGGCCGGGATGCGCTCACTCTGTAATACCCTCAAAAAACCGCTTTATTGAGAGGATTTACGGGCAGAAATCGAGACAAGAGAAAGCCATACTCCTGTCTTAAATGATTTTTAACCGTTTTATTTTAACACAGAGAGGCTTCTTCTATTAGAAGTGGCTTTTAAAGCGCTTTTCTTCCTGAGGAAAAAAACCACAAACCCGCTCCGCCCCCCTCGGCTCCGGAGCCCGGTCAGGGGGAAAAGTCCCGACCCTGAGGGGGCCCCCCGGGCCATGAGGGGACCCCCCGGGCCCTCCGGAACGCCCCGGCCCCCGCGCCGGCCACTCACCGAAGCACACGGTCGCCAGGTCTCCGGTGGCTCCGGCGGGCGGGCGGGTGAGTGCGGGGCCGGTGCGGGGCCGGTGTGGGGCCGGCGCGGGGCCGGGGCTGGCGCTGAGCTCCGCCCGCTCCCGCCGCCGCCGCCGCTTCTCCCTCAGCCGCCCGCGACAAAATGGCGCCGGCGCCGCTCCCGCCCCCGCCGAAATGGCGGCCGCGAGCTCGGCCACGCCCACTGCAGCGCGAGCCCCGCCCCTGCGCGTTGGTTGGTGCAGCCCCGGAGGGGGCGGGGAAAGGGGCGGGACAAAGGGAGGCGGGAACGTTCTGGCGGGAATCGGGGTGGGGCGGCCGTGACGTCATAGGGAGCGATGTCGCCATGGATTCGTCATGGAATTCTCGAGGGAACGTCGGGGAACCGCGGGAGCCATGGAGCCGTGGAACCGTGGAACCCCATGAAGGTGGAACCCCCGCACCCCACGGAACTGCGGGGTCGCGAATTCCGTGTCAGCTTTATCAGCTCCATCGACAATTCCATTGCCAGGGAGTCGTCACGGACCCTCGGAATTATGGAATCACAAAATAATGACTCCTGGGATCATAGAGGATCCGGGGGTTACGGAATTGTGGAGTTGGAAGGGATCTGTAAGGTCCAACCCCTGGCCCAGGACACTCCCAGTGTCCTTGGGGACCCTGTCCAGCTGCTCCTTGACCCCACCATCCCTGGGAGCAGCCCCTTTCCCGCTGTCCATCCCAGCAGGGCCGATCCCGAGCGAGGATCCGAGCCGGGATCGCGGGCGGATGATGGCGCTGGTGGCCCTGGTGGGGCCCTTGGCCACCATCCCATCCCACTGGGCCAGGAGATCCCAACCGGTTCCTCCAGCCCCGCGGGCGCGGTGCCGGCGCCTCTGGAGCCACCTGCAGCGAGTCCCAGCCTGTCACCCCCTTCCCAAAGCCCGGTGCTCCCGTGTCCCACACCCCGACACCGGCCGGGATCACCCGCCCCGGGGTCACCCTGCCCCGGGTGGATCCCAGGGTAAATCCCAGGGTAGATCCCAGGGTGGATCCCGGGGTGTCTCCAAGCTCTCGGGGTGACCCAGGGTGGCCTTCCCCCGTGACCCCAGAGTGGGAATATTCCCCGGGGGCACTCGCAGGGGGACGGGGCGGGAATCGCTGTGCCGGGAATGAAGGAGCTGACAACACCCCTGGGCCTGGGTCGGTGCCTTTATTGTGGAGCTGGATCCCAGCAGGATCCCCTGGGAGTGCTGGGGGGCGGAGGGGGTGAGCTGGGGGGTGGCTGGGGGGGAACTCTGGATTTTGGGAGCCCTCGTCCGGCTGTGGCCGCAGGGCCGTCAGGCGTTCTCCCAGAAGAAGGTGTTGCAGGCCACGGTCAGGGCAGCCACCAGGACCACGAATTCCTGGAAATCCACCTCCCCGTCGCCGTTCTCATCCAGGTCCTGCATGATCTTCTCCACGGCCCCCGCGTCCTTCTGGGTCTGGGGGGGCACAGGGTGAGCCCCGGGGCCGGGCAGCCGCCGTTCCCCCAGGGAAGGGGGGAAAGGGAGACCCCCAGGCCCCCAAACTGGTCCCAGTTACCTCCAGGAAACATCCCAGCTCGCTCTGCAGCAGCTCCTTGAGCTCCTTCTTGCTCAGCTTGTACTTGTCGCCCTCCTTGCCCGAGTAGTGGTGGAAGACATTGATCAGGGTCTCCATGGCCCCTTCCAGCTGCGATCCCATGGCTGCGGCTGCGGGACCCCCAGCACGTCACCCGGCAGCCCCCCCTGTCCCCGTGCCACCCCCGAATGTCACCACCCGCCCCCCTCTGGGCAGGACCGGGGGGTCTGGGGGGGTTCCCGGGGGCTGGGGGTGCTGGGCGCAGAGGCACCTGTGCTCACCTGAGCTCCCCGTGCTCCGAGTGCGCCCGCCCGGCCCGGCCGGGCACGTTAAATAAGCTCCAAGCCCCCTCCCTCCGGGAGGATCCGATACCGGGGCTGGACAGCCCGGCTGGCACCGCCGGCCACCCCCGCGGGGGCCGCCTTTGGGGGGCACAGCCCCCGGGGTGGCCCCGGGCAGCAGCACCCCCGGAGCCCCCGGGCAGGGACGGGGTGACAGCGGCACCTCAGGGGGCTCCCGGTGCCACCCGCGGGCTCCCCTCGCCGCCCCCGGGATGCTCCGGGATGCGGAAAAACCGGGCAGAGGGTCGGGACGGGCACCGGGATCTCTCCCCGGGGTCAATCCCCGCCGGGGACCCCCGGGTGACCGAGGTGGCCACGCCGTGACCCCGCGGTGTCACCGGCGGGCATCCCCCATCTGTCAGCGCCGCGGGGCCGCATCCGCGGGGCCGCACCCGCGGCCAGCCCCGCTCCCGGCACCGATAAAGGTATCCGGTGTCCTCGGCCTCGCCACGGGAGCCAGCGGGGCCCGGGGGGAGCGGCGGGGGCTATCGGGTGACTCCGCGGGGCCCCCCGCGCTCTCAAAGGCCTCTTGTCCGGCTGAAAAGGCCCCACAATCCCGGGCCAGACGTTGCTGCAGCAACGCCTCGGCCAAGAAACCGGATTCCGAGCTGGCCTGGGTGATGCTGATAATCCCGCGGATCCCGTTACGGCCCCGGATCTGCCCGGGCCGGACCCCCGCAGCCTCCCCGGCTCCGGCATCCCTGGGGAGCTCAGCCCCCCAAATCCCTCAGCCCCCAAATTCCTCGTTCCCCCCTCTCTGCGAGCTCCCCCCGCAGGAGCTGGGACCCCCCTCAAGCCGGAGCTGAGTTTTAACAAGAGCCGGGTGGTGCCGGGCTCTTCCTGCCGGCTTCCAGCCCTAATTTGGGGCTAATTACACCCTGCTGCCTCCGTTCCCATCTCCCGCACTTCCTGTCCCCGTGGCTGGGGAAGGCCCTGCCTGGGGACCCCAAAACTGCCGGTCCTGCGGGGCCAGGCCCCCTCCCCACCGCCCTGGGAAAGGGGAAACCGGGGGGTCCTGGATGGATGTGGGGGACCCCGGCTGGAATTGAAGGGTCCCGGCTGGAATTGAGGGGTCCCGGCTGGAATTGGGGGTCCCTGCTGGCCACAGCTCCCATTTTGGGGTGTGGGGCAGGGACGGGGGGGCTGGAGCTCCGGGAGGGGCCGGATCCCGAGCCTGGGGATGGGGGCACTGGGAGGGGCCCCGGTGGCACTCACTCGGCGTGTCCCTGTCCCCGGAAGGGCTCGGCAGCTCGGGGAACGTCACTGGGGCAGCAGCTGCTTGTGACAGGGCCAGGCCACCCCCAAAAATAACCCGGGCCACGCTCCCTGCCAGGCGGGGACAGAGGGGACAGAGCCAGGACCGCCGGGCACTGCCACGGCCGGAGCTCCCGAGCGCTCCCGAGGCTCCGGCCGCGCATTCCCAGAGCCGCAAACTCCTCGGGACAGCAGGACCGAGGTGCCCCAGGCTGAACCCCAACACTGCCGGGGTGTCCCGGAGCCCGCGGCCGGGCCGGAGCACGCCCGGCTGGCACATTCCCAGGAGCAGCTCTTTCCAAAGCGGGAGCAGCGAGGGACATGCCAGGAGCTTTACACACAGCTTGGAACAGGTTTCAGCCACCGCGACTCCCCTGCTCCACTTTGACCCAGCTAAACCAGTTGCTCCAGTTGCCGGTGCCGGGGCTGGGCCGATCTTGTCTCCCCATCCCATCGCCGGGGCTCTGGAAGAGCCTTTTCCACCCCCGGCCTTGGGAATGGGAGGAGCGGCAGTGGCCGGGCTGGGGACACCGCGGTGGCTCTGGGCACCTGCTGCTGCCCCACGGCCCCTCCGAGCAGCCCCGATGGGACCAGCAGGGGCCACTGCCGGGCTGGACACCGCAGTGGCCACAGGGACCATCCCGAGCTGGGGTCCCCAACCCTGACAGGTTGTGGACAAGCCCAGGAATGTGGAAGTGGACACTGACCCCACCCTGGGGGATGCACGTGGTCACTCTGTCACACAGGGTCCTCTGCTCCTGTGTGGCCCAAGTCTCTGTGCGGGCCCTGTCCCTCCGTGGTCTCTGTCCCTCCATGGTCCCTGTCCCCAAATGGCCTCGGTCCCTGTCCCCAGATGGCCTCGGTCCCTCCATGGTTCCAGCGGTCCCTTTGTTGTCCCCTCCTGGCCATGCCGGGGTCCCCGAGGCCGGCTCAGCACCCCCTGCCCGTGGGGACGGTCCCGATGGGGATCCCGGGGTGACAAAAACCCTGGAGGCGCCTTTCCCACGTCCCCCTCCTGTTGTGGGGCCACCGCAGCATCTGCCCCTTCCTCACCCCATCCCGGCTCCCGGAATTCCAGGGCCGGGGAGTCACGGGCCCGCCTGGCTCCGGGGCCGGTGATTCACCCCAAACCTGTCCCGCTCCTGACTCAGCCGCCGCTTTCCCAAGAGACCATCTCGGTCCCCTGACGTGGGGCTCTGTGGATGTCCCAGCCCTGTCCCCCCGTCATCCCGGGGCCGGATGGGGCTGCAGGAAGCCAATTCCTGTCCCGTGAGTTGGTGTGACAGGGTGGGGACACGGCCACCCCAGCCCATGGGAGCCTCCCCGTGCCCGCGGAGCGGCGCAGCGAGGGCTCAGCACAACCCGGGGACCTCCCAGCCCTCGGTCCCCAAAACTCCCCTGGGGCTTTGGGACCCCAAATTCCCGTGTGTTGCCCCCGGGGGGGCTGCTCGCCGCAGCCTCGCTCTTTGTCACAGCTGCGGCTGAGGTTGGGGACATTGGGGACAATCTGGGGTCCCCCCGGGGTGCGGGAGCTGCTCGGGGTCCCTGTGGGAATGTCGGACACGTGCCAGGGCTGCCGTGTTATAAATACCCACTGATTAAAGGGGAGCGCTCGGGCCCTTCCAACCCCCTAATTAATTTGGATTAATTAATTTTCACAGAGCCCACTATTAATAGGGATGTTGCCAGCGGGCGGCTGAGTCACAACTCTCACTCGGTGCGGGTCGAGCCGGGCCTTGGGTCGGTGACAGCGGGCGGGGATGTGACAGGGATGGGACAGGGATGGGACCGGGGCTCGGGGGTCACCTCCCTGTCCCCGCCAGGGAGGGAACTGGGGGTGACACCTGCCCTGCACCCCCGGAATGCGCCTCAAAGTTTGGATTCCATCATCTCGGAGGCCTTTCCCATCCTGAGAACGGCCCCGGGAGTTTTTCTGTGCGTGGTTCTGGGGAGGGTCCGGGGGATGCTCCAGCCCCAGGGGATGCTCCAGCCCCGGGGGATGCTCCAGCCCCGGGGGATGCTTTCTCTGCCCGCGGTCCCATCCTGGCCCCTCCGGAGGTCCCCGTGCGGCGCCGCCGAGGCCGCGGCGAGTTCGGCCCGAGTTTGGTCCGGTGCCCGGGTGGGGAGGGAGCAGAGGACGGAGGGACGGACGGAGGGACGGACGGAGGGACGGACGGCGGCGCCCGGGCGGTGTCTGCGCGTCCGTCCGGCCGCACCAGGAAACCCAACACCGCCGGGGGAGGGGAGGGGGGGACAAAAGCTGCGCTGTCCCCTCCTGCGGCGCGGCTATAAAACCTCCTGAAAACTCCCGAAACGTCCCCAAACCTCCTGAGCCCCCCGAAACCTCCCGGGGGCCTCCGCCTGCCCGCAGCGAGGGGGTAAGTGGGGCACCGACCCCCGATGTACCCCTGGTCCCCGCCCGTGTCCCCGCTCCTGGGAGCGGCCCCATGGCCGGGCCCTGCTGCCGCTCGCCGCCCCGGGACCCTCCTGAGCCCCGCGAGGCCGAGCTGAGCCCTCGCAGGCTCGCGGGGCTGGGGAGGGGGCGAGGGTCGCCCCCGGGACACCCCTCCGGGCTCGTGTCCCTGCAGCCCCGGGCTGTGTCCGGTGCCATGGCCGCGGCCGAGCCCAGCGAGCCGGGCGAGCTGACCGAGCTGGAGAAGGCCATCGAGAGCATCGTCACCGTGTTCGTCACCTTCGCCGCCAAGGAGGGCAAGAAGGGCACGCTGACCGCAGGCGAGTTCAAGGAGCTGGTGCGGCTCCAGCTGCCCAACCTGATGAAGGTGAGGGGAGGGTCCCCGGGGGTCCCCCCCGGACCGCGGGGCCGCTCCCGGTCCCCCGGGGTTTGCAATTCCCCCCAGCCCGGTCTCTGGGGAGGGGAAGCGGCCGAGCCTCCCTCCCGTGCCCTGCCCGCAGGACGTGCCCTCTCTGGAGGAGAAGATGAGCGAGCTGGACGTGAACAACGACGAGGAGCTGAGATTTGGGGAGTACTGGCGGCTGATCGGGGAGCTGGCCAAGGCCATGCGGAGGGAGAAAGCGGCCAAGAAGTGACGGGGCCGCTGCGGAGCCGCGGCAAATAAAAGAGGTTTTTCCCCCGAGCCTGAGCATCTCTGCTGTTCTTGGGGGGCTCCCGATTTGAGCCCCCGTCTCCTCCCCGTGGTGGCCGCGCTGGGGACGGGCTCAGCCCCGCGGTGCCGCTTTGGGGTCACTCCTTGGCTGGGACGGGGCCAAAGTATCCTTGCGCTGGTCTGGCTTTTGGGGTGCCACAAACACCTTCCTGCCGCGCTGGGGGTGCGCGGGGGGCAGAGCCGTGCCCGTGGCCGGGGTGAGGCTCGGGAGATGCCCATCGTGTTGTGCAGGCTCTGGGGTGGCACAGGGTGGCACAGGGTGACACATCCCCCGGCACATCCCGCCTGGGGGATGCCCCCATTCCCAGCGCCCGGCTCCCAAACCCCGGCCCCGCTGGACCGCGGTGAAATCCCGCTGGGGGTGACCGAGCGGGGCCCGGTGGCCGTTCCCACGCTGCTCCGCGGCCGTGCCGGGCCCGGTTGGATGTGGGAAGGCACCGGTGTGGCCGGGAAGGAGGCGTTTCCCGGCCCCACGCTGGCTCCGGGCCAGGCTCCCAAATGAGACGCCTTGCACCACGGAGCTCCCACTCACACCTCCCCGGTATAAAACCCCGGCCCGCCGCAGCCCGCGCACACCTGGGACAGCCCGTGCTGCAGGTAAGTGACGGTCCGACCCTCGGCACGGGGGGGATCCGCGCCCCCGGCCCCTCCGCTCCCACGCTCGGCTCTGCCACGACTTGCGAGGACGCCGGGGACGTGTCCCGGCAGCTCCAGCCGCGGAGCTCCCATCCCGGGGCTCCTTCCTCGCCCTCCGCTCGGGGATGAGGAGGAGTCCGGGCGCCGGAGGAGAGGAAGCTCCCCCCGAGCCGAGAGCTGAGCTTGGCTTCCTTCCCCCGCCAGCTCCCCCGGACCCCGCGGCGGAGGAGAGACCCCCGGAGAGAACCCCGGAGAGAACCCCGGAGCTGCCCCCGAGGAGCCGCCAGCAGCAGGATGGGCCAGTGCAACTGCCGCAAGAAGCGCAAGGTCCGGTGGGGACACCGCGGCACCGGGACCCCCGGCGGGGACACCGCGGCACCGGGACCCCCGGCGGGGCTGGGGGTGACCCCGCACGGCCCCGGCCTCGGAGCCCCGGGCACGGCGTGACTCAGAGCCCGTGGAGGAGCCGGGGGCTGTTTTGGGCTTTGGCAACGCCGGGCACCGGGTGCTGTGGAGCCGCTTGAAAGCTCGGGGAAGCAGGCAGCTCTGTCCTGCTCCCGTGGATGGACCTTCGGGAGCTGCCCGCGCTCCTTGCAGCCTCTCCGAGGATGCCCACCGGCAGAAAAGCTCCTGTTTTCCTCGGCTTTCAACCGGGAGGTGCCCACCCCGCACCCCTTTGCACCTGTGGAGGATTTGGGGCGCCGGGCTGAGGCGCTGGAGGTTGCCAGGCTCTTCCCGCTGGGCATCACCGGCTGCGGTTTCACGGCGTTCGCAGGGGAAGCCGCAGATTTGAGTGAATCACCGTCGTTTCCCTCAAACGGAGCCGCAGGAGCGGCCCGGAGCGGCCGGGAGCGGGGGTCGGGCTGTTCTGAGCCCCCCACCCCGCCGGGGCCGGGGTCTGTGGGGTGGGAGAGGGGCTCGGGCCGCTGCCGAGCCCCGTCCCGGCGCCACCGCGGGCACTGACTCACTCTGCCATCGCCACCTGAGCGATGGAGGAGAGGAAGAACCAGTCGGGACGGCCCCGAGAGACGCCGGGGTGGCTGAGCCTGGCGGGCCCCGGGCGGGGACAGCGCGTCTGGGGGGGTGACAGAGCTGGGGGACAGCGGGTGGCACCTGGAGGGGCTGTGACAGCCGGGCAGAGCCGCTGCGGCAGCTGCGGGCGAGGGGCGCGACATCTGTGGGGCCTCACATCTGTGTGGAGAGCTCCGGGGGGAGTCTGTGGGCAGCGGGGGCTCACAGCTGGATGAGGCTCACAGCTGGACAGGGAGGTGCCGCAGCTGGATGGGGGCTCACAGCTGGATGGGGAGGTGCCGCAGCTGGATGCGGAGGCTGCCTGACATCTGCACAGGAGGGCCTCGTGCTGACCGGGAGATTTATCCCGGGATTGTGCAGGGATCAAATGTCGGCTCGGGGAGTGTCCCGCCCGCTCGGGGCTGGTCCTGTCCACCCGCGGGATGTCCCAGCCCCCCGGTGTGGTGTCCCAGCCCCCCGGTGTGGTGTCCCAGCCCCCGGTGTGGGGTCCCAGCCCCCCGGTGTGGTGTCCCAGCCCCTCGGGAAGGTGTCCCAGCCCCCCGGTGTTGTGTCCCCCCCGGCGCTCACCCCCTGTGCCCCCCGCAGGACTGCCAGGAGCTCACGGACGTGGAGCGGGCCATCGAGACCGTCATCAGCCAGTTCCACTGCTATGCTGTGAAGGGGCAGAAGGAGTACCTGACCCCCAACGAGATGCAGGAGCTGGTGGTGCAGAAGCTGCCCCACCTGGGCAAGGTGAGGGCAGAGCCCGGCGGTGGGCAGGAGGAGCTGGGGGTGGTCCCGGGCTGCTGGTGGGAGCCCCCAGCCCCATCACCCCGATGTTCTCTCTGCAGTGCGTGGGACCCCTGGAAGAGAAGATCGAATGCATGGGAGACCCTAACGAGGCCAAGCTGGAGTTCGGAGAGTACTGGGACATGATGGGGGATGCGGCCAAGGGCTGCCGGAGGAAGTAGAGGGTGGTGGGGGTCGGGAAGGCGCCCGAGGTCTGAGGCTCTGCTCCTGGAAGCTCCAGAGGCCGCCGGTCCCGGGGGATGCGCCTGGGAAAAGCCACATCGCTCCTGCCGGGTCTCGACTCCTCCCGCGCCGAGGATCCCCCTCCCCGGCTCCATCCCTGCCCTCCTTCCCGTCAGGAACTCTCCCTTCCCACCCCCAGCTCTGCCCATGCAGGGGGAGGTGGCGCGGGGGGGGTCCCGGAGCCGCCTCTCCCCATCCTTTGCCTCCATCCCCGGCCTTGTCCCACCTGCGGCCCCGGGAAGCCTCCGGGAGCGGCTCCCCCAGCCCCGGAGCCCCGCGGCGGGCGGGACTCGGCTCCTTTCCCCCGATCCCCCTCGGATGTGGGGGCTCGGCCCCCAGCCCTGTGTCCCGTCACCCCCACGGCACCTCCGGGGGCTCCGCCGTGGCCCTGGCTGGGTTGGCGGGGCCCGGGAGCCTTCCCTGCCGTCCCCCCGGTTTTTGGGGGGCTGATCCGGGATGTGCTGCCCTCCCGGTGCTCCCCATCCCCAGGGACCCCGGCCCCGGGGCAGGGGCGGGCTGGGATCAGCTTGGGCGGCTCGCGACCATTTTTGTATAAATTAATAAAGGAAAAAACACTGGGGGAAAAAAACCCCAAAAACCCAAAGAAAGCTGGATGGGGTGAGCTCGTTTTGTCTTTGGGGGACGGAGGAGAAGTGGGGGGCCAGGAGGGGGTCGGGGCCGCAGCGCTTGTGGGTTGGGGTCAGCACTTTGGGATGGTCTGGGGGTGCAGGGGATGCTCTGGGGGTGCTCTGGGGGTACAGGGAATTCACTGGGGGTGCTCTGGGGGTGCTCTGGGGTACAGGGGATGCCCTGGGGGTACTCTGGGGGGCCTCTGGGGTACAGGGGATGCTCTGGGGGTGTGTGACCCCTGTGAGCATCCCAGGGCTCTCCACATTCCCAAATCCCAAGTGCCTGTTGGTCCCAGTGGTGCTCCGGACATTTGGGATTTGGGAATGCGGCTCCTGGGCTGGAGGGAGATCAGGGGAGACCCCGAAATTCCAGGCTTGGGAAGACCCAAGGGCGGCCGGGAGCGGGATCCCAACAGTGCCGGGAGAATGTGGGATTTGGGTGTAATTACAGCAAACTGGGAAAGAGAAAATGCCACAAAGCTGTGCCTCACCATTGGCTCCGGCGCTGGAGCACACGGAGAGTGAGGAAACGCGCTGGAGAACCCGGTTTTCCCACTTTTCCTCTGCCATCCAGGCCTTTCCCACAGAGCTCCGTGTCCGGGAGGAGGCTGTGGGCACCCCGGAGACGCAGTGGGGACCCTAAAAAGGATTGTCCCAAAAGGGAGAGGGCGTGGGGACCTCAGCAGCGCCTCCGTCACCTCGAGAGGGGAAAAACCAAAGCGATCCGAGGCTGGGGAAAGGCGATAAGAGCCGGGGCTGGGCAGGGGACAGGTCCTGCCGGGCCGGCGGCAGCTCCGGCACCGCGGCTCGGCCACAGCCAGCCCCTGTCTGCTCTCAGCGCGGGCTGGATTTCACAACGGGAATGACTATTTATTGTTCCTTCCTTGGAAATAAATAGATGGAAATTAAGCAGAAAGGTGTGGCCTGCGTTTAATTGGAGACAGGAAATGTGTCAGGTCGGGCTGATGGGGGGGAAAGGGGAGCCGGGGCTCCCCGATCCAGTTCCCATTCCCAATTCCCTGCGCCAGGCTGGGAATGTGCCCCGGGACTGGGGACTCCCGGCTCCCCGGCCCTGCTGGAACACTGAGGTGACAATTCCTGCGACGTGAGCCGGCCTGGATGAGTCTCCGGCGTATCTGGAATGTTCTGGAGGTGACAGGAGCAGCCCAGCCCGTGCCAGGACGGCCGGTGCCCCTCGGTGAGGGCACGGCACCGGGACACCCATCCCGGGGGTCACCAAAGACCCCCAACCCAGCGCTTGGCCCCTCTGGAAAGGCTCCCGTGGTGCGGAGCTCATCCAGGAGACACCGAACACCTCCCGAGCCTTCACCTGGGGGAGCCAGAGCGGGGGGGACCCCCGACCTCCCCGGGGTCCCGGGGGCGCTGGGATGGGCCGGGCCGGTTCGCGGCCGCTCCGAGCGCACGCACACGCCCTGGATGCCTTGTAAAAATAAGGGCCTGGATGTGGTTGTGACATCTGCCAGGGGAGCAGGGCGATGAAAGGCCGTGATTCAGGAGTGAGCTGTTTGCCTGCAGGGTCCGGGAGGGATTCCCACCCTCCCGGGATGTTGCATCAACGCCACGACAGCGGAGCATCTCGGCCCAGAACAGGTTTGCTTCCTCCCGACCGAGATTAGGAAGAGGCCGGGGGAGAGCTGGCGTGACACGTTTTTTCCGGGACGGGAGCTCCAGGGGAGCCGGTGGCTCCCGCCTGTCATAAATCACCTCCTCCTTTGCATCCCCAGATGTGCCCTCCCCGATAAGGCCGGGATCTCATCTCGCCATCGAATCGCTCTGGGAGACACCAGGCCTGCAATTTGCAGAGGATAATTAATTATGGATGGGACTTTACAAGCCCAGCTCCCAGCTGGGGAGAGCCTCATCCGTCCCAGTCAGAGATGTCCGAGTGCCGGACAGGGGCTTGCAGAGCCCCAAACCCGTGTCAGCCCCTTCCAGCCGGCAGAACAAGTGGTTTTGGTTCAAATAAAGGATTTTATTTGGGTGGTTTGGAGCTGGGGGATGGCTGGGATGGAGGAGCCGGGTTTTCACTGGTTGACTTCCAAACGCTGGGATCGGGAGGGAATTCTGCGCCCCCTCCCCACCCCGTGGAGCCTTTTGGGGTGTTCCCGTCACCCCAAACCCCGAGCGGCCCCCGGGAAGGAGCCGGGGCCGGGTCCCTGCTCGCTCCGACCCGTCCCGGTGTCGCAATCCCAGGGATCCATTTCCCAGGTAAGCGCCGGTCTGGGAACGCCCTGGGAACGTCAGGGAGGGGTGGGAGCCTCCTTAAAAACCCGGCTGGGCCGGAGGGATGGGTGCGAGGTAAGGAGAGAGCGGCGACATCGGCTCCCAGCGCCCGCGAGGCCACAGCGGCGACAGACGGACACAGCGGGACCCCCGGGAGGATGCAGGTGAGGCTCCCGGGGGATTCCCGTTCCCCCCGGGATGGGAACCAGGCCTCGGGCTGAATATTCCACCGGGAAGAGCCCCGGGATGTGCCGCTGCAAGGTCGGGAGGTGGAAATTCCTGGAATCCTTGGGCAGCTGAGAGCGGGGCCGGGCTGGAGGGACCGGCCGGGGTCACCGGGGGGGAACCGGGCTGAGCCCCGGGATGTCAGGAACGGCAGCGGCAGCACCCTCGCACCTTCCCTGGCGCTGCGGAGCTCGGCTTGGGGCAGCCAGCGGGGTCTGGCTCCTGGAAAAGGGGATTTGGCAGCGGGGGAGGCGGGCGGGGAGCGCTGGGGCCGTGTCCGGCTCTGTCCCCGCTCTGGGCGCTGGAGACCGGGCGAGGAGGGACAGGGAGAGGGGAAAGGAGCGGTGGGACCGTGGTGGTGGGAGTGGAGCTGCTGGAGAGCCCCATCGTGCCCATCCCACCCAGCTGGGGCTGTGTGTCACCCCAGTGACCCCGTGTGCCACTCCAGTGTCCCCGTGTCCCATCCCAGTGTCCCCGTGTGCCACCCCGGTGTCCCGGTGCCCCCGGCTGGCCCCGGGGCTGTACCGTGAGTCAGCGGCGGAGCAGCCGCGGTGCCCCAGGGCCGGGCCGGGCGCTGCTGCCAGGGGCCGGTGACACCCGTGGGGACCCGGGCGAGCGCAGGGGGTGCCGGGGGTGCCGGGGCTGCTCCTGCCCCGGTGCTGCCCAATTCCCCCGGCTCACGGGCCGGGATCCCGGTGAGCGGCTCCAATCCGGCGCTGGGACAGCCCCGAAGCCACCCCGGTGGCCGAATCCTGAGAGTTGGGGACAGTCCCCAGCCCTGGGCTGATGGAGTCACCCCGGGGCAGTGACAGCACAGGGACAGCGATGGCTCGGGAGAACACAGGGCCACGCTGAGGGACGTGGGGACAAGGAGAGAGCGAGGGGCCGAGCCCGGTGTCACCTCCCTGTGTCACCTCGGCCTGGGGCTGGGCTGGATCAGGGTGAGGAGAAGGGAAAGGAGCCAAGTTCTGGCACGGGGCAGGTCCCGCCTGCTCCCAGAGCCAGCAGCCGGGCTGGGGACAGCCTGTGCTGATGTCCCCAGAGCGGGGACAGCGCTGGGCCACCCCTGTGCACCCTCCGAGGTCCCTGCGGCCACCACTGCTGTGCTGCTCACTTGTCCCCTGGGCTGCTCACTTGTCCCCTGGGCCGGTCACTTGTCCCCCGGGCTGGTCACTTGTCCCCTGGGCTGGAAGCAAAGGGATGAAGTGACCCCAGCTCCCCCCACTCCCGGCCACCGACGGGGCAGGAAAGAGCCAAGTCCGGCCAAGGTGACGCAGTTTCCGTCCCCTCGCCACCGGGATGTGACGGGGACCATCCTGCCGGGCCCGGCCACAGCCAGGAGCTTCCTGGCTGGGGACAGCCGCGGGGACAGGAGGAACACACCGGGCTCGGAGGGGACCCGGGGCTGTGGGGACACCCTGGGCCGGGCTCGGAGGGGCTCGGCAGGGGGGGGGGC